AGGTGAATAGTGGAGCTCACAAGGGGAAGGTTGTGGTCACTGCTTGGTCACAGCCAGCTACCCAGAGGGACTGAGCAGTTGAACCTGCAGGCTTAGAACCATAGTTGCAGGGGACATCAAGCTCAATTGGCATAACATACTATACAAAACATTGTTCCACCTCCTACTGGGGCAAGTAGCAGTTGGGATCTTAAAAGTTTGCAAGCTGCTATCTAGATGCAGTGATTGGTCTCTCCTCGTCCAGAGCAAGGAGGAATGAAGAAAACCAAAAATTCATGGATACAATCAGTCCTAATGACTGGTACACCATCCGATCTGCAGCCTATATGACTACGAGACCAGAAGAACTAGATAGTGCCCAGCTACTACTGTAAAGCACTTGGAAGAGGATCTTTGTAGGAGATCCTGGATAGAGAGGGAGAACAATGGGACAAAACTCAAAATTATTTGGAGGAAAAAAAAGGGGGGGAGGACCAGGTATGTTGAGCCAATAGAGCTTGATGGAACCACTGAGACTGTGGCCCCTAGCTGCCCTTCAGGTCTTGAATTGAACCTATCTATACCTGTGGCTTCCAGCCAAGCAGAGGACAGGCATATGAGTTGGACATTTACCTGAGGACATTTACCTCACTCCTTGGAGAGAACAATCATGGGAGAAAGAAGGGCTGCTTATGCACAGGGAGACAGCTCAGGGGGCAGAAGGGCATGGAGGGATGGACCCAGGGAAGAGGTAATTATTGGGAGGAAGTGGGAGGGGAGCTGTTGCATTTTGGTAAATTGTGGTCAATATAATGAGACCAAGTGTATAGGAACTGCTGTATAGAAAGTGAATTTGTTGTGTAAATTTTCACCCAAATCACAATAAAAAAAAATTACTAGATTTTAAATAGATTTTTATATTAGAACCAAGCTTTGGCAAAGATTATCACCATCTCTGATTAATTTCTTTCAAAGATACGTCACTTTTCTTCTCTTTACATCAGTTCTGCTGTATACTATAAAACTCTGAGACCACGACTTAACTAGATAGGGACATGTTACTATTTTAATTCCATTTGGATTGTAAACATCACGTTTTGACCAAAGTAGATGAAGAGAGGTGAAACCAGTGGTGTTAGTTTCCCTTTTACTGTCAAGTGGTTAAAATCAAATAGCAGTCCCAGAGCAGGGCTTCTCAACTTTTTGGAAACCTATGCCCCCTTTTGATAGACATGAAAACAGTAGACGCACATACCCATGGCCCTTCATTGAGGTCATTGTATTATGTGAGTCTTCTAGCTAAAACATTAATCTCTGCTTTTAATAATTTGCATTATAGAAAAATAGACCTTGTGGTTTGTTTTCCAAATATACAAAATTGTTATATGTGCATTGTTCTGTTCACCTAGTGCTGCTGTGACAGGAATATACCACAAATGGGATGGCTTGAACAAACAGGAGTTTATTTTTACAATTTGGAGGCTGTTAAGTCCCAAGTTCAAGTGGGAGCTCTGGTAGCATAGTGGCTAAGACACTTGCCTGCTAACCAGACGGCTGGCGGTTCAAACCCACCAGCCACTCCTCGGAAGGAAGGTTGGGCAATCCTACTTCCGTAGTGATACTGCCTCGGAAACCCAAGGAGGGGTCGCTATGAGTCGGGTTTGACTCGACGGCACATAACAACAACAACAACAACAAAGTCCCAAGTTCAATGTGCCAGGCTCCAGGGGCTGGGTGAAATCCCCTCAACCTTGGGGCTCAGGTCTGCCTCCTACTCCCAGCCCACTGGATCTAGAGGCTTTTCTTCACTCAAGACAGCTGCTGGCTGCTGAGGCTGAAAAGCTCCAAGATTGACAAGTAAAAAGGCACAGTCTTGATGTTACCAAACCACATGGCAGGCCATTAATTTAAGTCCATTGAAAGTCCCAAGGTTGGCAGAGCATGGCAGGGCTGCTAAACCTACATGCAGGGTTCAATGCTATAAGCTAGAGGCCATTCCCAAAGCTGTCTCTTTTATTCGGGAAGCAGACCACATACCCAGAGCAGCTACTCAGCTGCGCCAATAGATTCCACTATGGAGTTAATTACCAATCTCACCGTGGGGAATAACTACATGCAGCTGCCCAGCCACTCTACCAAGCCTAGCCAAGTTGACACACAAACTTAACCACCACATGTATTTTCACATTATAAATGAAATACCATACCACCCACTACCACCCCCAGTTGAAAATATATATTATAAAGGGGAAGAAGACCAAAGAACATGTATAAAGTTAGAAGTCTGTAGTAATTTCCAGCCATGTTAGAAGGTAAGACAATTATATGGAAGTTTGAAATCTTTCCTCTGCTTAGTGTTTAAGGCCCCTTCCCTGTACATAGTTGGCTAGTTCAATATTCTGTTCCTGGGAATTAACACATAAATGCACACACTGCCATCAAGACGGATCCGACTCACAGTGACCCCTCCTTAGGTTTCTGAAGCGGTATCACTACAGAAGTAGATTGCCCAACCTTCCTTCCAAGGAGTGGATGGTGGGTTTGAACCGCCAGCCTTCTGGTTAGCAGTCAAATGCCTTAGGCACTATGCCACCCAGAGCTCTGTAACTAAAATAAAAGGCAAAATCCTTATGATCCTTTTAAAACTCTTCTCTACTCAAAACGATACTGTAATTTAGTAGAGACACAATCACAGCTGACTCATGTCTCAAAATAACACAGAGTCTCCTTTTTGTTCTTCATTTACCCAGTCCTGAGGTCCTCAGTCCCATAATACTTCTGCATTCCCCATCTCATCACCATCAGCCTCATCCAAACAGCAGTCACACTGCCTAGTTAACTCTATAACTGTTGTATTTCCCCCTTATAATCCCCCGTAGGAGGAATTCAACATGCCTGGTGCTCCTTAGTCTTATAACACTTTCTAGTTAATTCTACCACCAAGAGGATATTTATCCCACCTTCTTTCCTTACACCTTTCTGCATTCTGCCCTCCTTGCCTTCAGGGAAGTTTAGTGTCAAGCTTACCATTTCAATTTTGAGCTAGAGAATAGTTGAAAAGTAGTGCTGTTTACGTACATATATTGTTCAAGAAAATATCTCCTTTTTATTGAAACATAACCCTACCTCATGCCACAGCAGATTAGGTTAGCTATCTTCTGCCTTTTCATCTTCCTCAATTTAAGCTCACTTTCCATAGATGAAAATTATTCTTGTTTGGTTTTATTGTTTGTCAGTTTAATAATTTTGTTTTCATGGGTTACAATAAACACTTTATGCTGTCTCATACCATTTCTTTGAGTAGAATAAACTTTTGAAGTACAACTAGTTGTTGAATCCTTTGTATATTTCTAGAAAGCATTTAACAAGAAGTAAGGCTTGCCTGGGTTAGTATAAAACCAAAACCAAACTGACTGCCATTGAGTCATTTCCAATTCATAATGACCCCCATTGGGTTTCTGAGGCTAAATCTTTACAGAAGTAGATTGCTCCATCTTTCTTCCTTGGAGCAGCTTGTGGATTAATGAACTGCTGACCTTCTGGCTAGCAGCCAAATGCTTTATCTACTATGCCAGCCAGGGTCACTATATGAAATAAAAGTTGTTTGAATTTTTCTCCCATAATATTGTGATTTGTCATGCTACTCAGAAGGCAGAAGAATTAGTAAGCCTGAGTTCCATATTCATTATGGAAGCATGCACACACAATCCCACATCTTCATACTCCTTTTCTAATAGGCAGTTCCCCTTCCAAGATGTAAAACCTGAGAGGTAGAAATGTAGCTCTTTATTTTTATGCATAGACATTCTTTTGATGTAAAGCACAAAATTTATTTTCTATTTTAAAACTACACTATTAATCACTTGGGTTTTTATGTAACTAAAATCTCCATGGCCACAATGTGAGAGGTTTTATCTATGTGAAATTGGGAAATTTATGTACATATTTAGGATACTGTTTGCTATAATTGGTGATACCTTTCTGCTATAGTATTGTGCATACAAGCCATAACTCACTTAGCAGTTGCTATAGGATGAAGTCTAACTTGAAGCATGTTTGATGTAAACCATAACATATGGTTTTGTTTCCTTTGTTATAAAAGAAAATAGTGAGTAAATTGTATATGAATTACACTTCAAAGCAGTTACCAAAAAATAAAGGATTGTTATATAACATAGTGAGATGATGATGGTGATGATCGGTGCACACTGCTACTGGGGTGAGGAAAGATTGGCTACCCAGAGTTACAACTTACTGTTCCTATAAACGTATTAAATAACTATGGCAATCAGGTGGTTTTACATATATTAGTGAAGTGTGTCTGTGGTAGAAGTTTTTATATGTCAGATTAAGTGTATGTGATAATAGTTTTTAAGTAGTAGTGAGGTGGTCCTAACAACTTTGAGTTCAGAATCAGAGATCTAGATTCAAGTCACGTGACCTTATATAAGTTATTAATCTTAGTATAGAATTACAGTATTTAAAATGATAACTGGTTGCTTCTCTGTGCTGCTCATTTTTAAAAAATAATTGTAATACTTCCTAAGGAAGTTACATTTGTTAAAAGACTGCTTTTAGATATGATAACAAACCTAGCTTTTCACCCTGTTTTTCCTATTCTTTGAGAAAATTATAAAAACTTTACAGAAGTAAGCTATGTCATTTATATAGCTAATGAATATATGTGAATTAATATAAATGTTTATATATGTACATTTATGTAAGTGATTTATTAAAACATTTTACAATTGACCCAATTTTAAAGATATAAAAAAAATTTTGTCTCCCCATTTCATAAAGTGTGTTTCATATCCCTCCTTTAGAATTGAGAATCTTTTCAATATATAGAATAAAACTTTATTATAGGACTTTTCCCCTGTTCCTGCATCCTTCTGAAGAAGAAATACTTATTTCATGGGTTATTGGCTTTTTCTTTTGTTTTTTACTCTACAAATAAGGATTAACATTCCTTTTTCTTTTTTAATTAAATCTAAGATTTATTTTGAAAATTACATTTTTAGGGTAAATGGTATCATCGGAGGCAAGCTGTGAAAGAATTGCATAGTACATTGATTCGTCTTTTAAATGAGTTGCTGCCATGGGAACCAAAGTTAATGAAGGCTTTTCAAAGGAACAGGTAATCCAAGCTTTATAATCTGTTTCATTTATGCTTAACCAAAAAACCAAACCCACTGCCATCAAGTTGATTCCGACTCATCGTGACCCTATAGGACAGAGTAGAAGTGCCCCATAAGGTTTCCAAAGCTGTAAATCTTTATGTAAGCAGATGCTCCTGCAAAGGGAGCGGCCGGTGGGTTTAAACTGCTGACCTTTTGGTTAGCAGCCACGCACTTAACCACTACACCACTAGGGGTCCCTTTACTTATAGTTAGGTCTCTTAATCAATGACTGTAGGAGTATGTCGTGGGATCCTTTTGTGGTTTCCCAATCATCTGCAATTCAGCAAATATTCTTGAGTGTGTACTGCGTGCATAACACTTCTTAAGCCCTAAGAAAGCAGTTTTGTGGCTTACATTTTAATGGAGGAAAGACAGACTCAAATGTCAGATGGAGATAAGTGCTATGAAGAAAAAGTAAAGCCTGGTTTGAAGAGGATGAAGCTTATTAAAGCGTGTCAGGGAAAGCTTCCCTGATGAGGTGGTATTTGAAGGAAATGAGAGAAAAAGCCATGTGGATATCTGAGGAAAAAACAGATGCAGAAGCCCTGAGGTTGGGAGCAGGTTTGACATTTAGAGGAAATGCAAAAAAACAAGTATAGCCAGCTTAGAGTAAATGAGGAGGATCATGCTTAGAGACAGGAGTCAAAGAGGTAGGGATGAGTAGCCAAATCATATAAGTCCTTATTAAGGAGTTTGGTTTTACTCTGCGTGAGATGAAAGATTTTCAAGCAGAGGAGGGACATGATCTGACTTAAGTTTTAAAGCATTCACTGTAGCTAACAGTGATTAGTGTAGTGGGACAGAGACGAATCAGATAGACCAGTTACACTGTAGCAATAATCCAGGTAAAAAAATGATGGAAGCTTGGACCAGAAAAGTAGCAGCACAAATGGTGAGGAGTGACAAGAATCTAGACGTATTTTGAAAGTAGGGTTGGTAGAATTTGCTTAAGGATTGGATTTGAGATAAGAGGAAGTGAGAAGTAAGAAGATGATGCCTAAGATTTTTGGTTTAAACAACTGGAATAACAGAATTGCCACCAGCAGATAGGAGAGAATGAAAGAGTAGCTGGTTTGAGAATAGATCAGAAGCATTCAGGAGTTTTGGATTTCAGCATGTTAAGCTTCATAGGCTTTTTAGACATGTAGTTAGAGTTACTGAGTAAGTAGTTTGATATGTGAGTCTTAGTTTAAGGAGAAATCCAGGCTGGAGCCATGGATTTAGGAGTTATCATATAGATTGTATTTAAAGCTGTGAGATTGGTAGATACCACCTCATATGGGAGCATAGATAGAGAAGAAGAGAGAACTAAACCCTGAGGCATTCTAACATTTGGAGGTGGTAGATGAGTAGAACTTAGAAGAGATTGAGAAAGAGTAAGTAAGATAGGTGGTTAACTGACGCCAAGTAATATTCTAGAAACCAGGAAAAGAAAATATTTCAAAAAGGAGGGCTGCTTATGGTGGGCTGAGGAAGATGAAGATGGAGACTTCATTTTTTAATTTGGCAACATGGGGTCATTGATGACCTTAACCAGCTGTGTTGATAGAGAAGTGGGTGCAAGTCTTAGGGGTCTGTTCAAGGGAGTTAGAGAAAGGAATTGAAGGTATTGAATAGACAGTTTTTTCGTGGAGTTTTGCTATAAAGTGGAACAGAGAAATGGGGCAGTAGCTGGAAAGACAAACTTAGGTCAAGAGAGGGTGTTTTTTATTTGCTGTTGTTTGTTTTTATTAATGGAAATACACCATATTTGTATACTGGTGAAAATGACCCAGTAGCAAGGCAAAAATGTTTCAGGTGGAAGAAGGGACATTTGGTGGTATGATGTCCTTGAATAGGCATCAGCAGAGGTGTAGCTTAGAAGGGAAGATAAAGTTTGTAAGTGCACATGAAGGTAAGTTGCAGATGCAGTGTGAGCACTTAAAAGTTCTTTTCTGACTGCTTCCATTGTCTCTGAAATAAGAAGCAAAGTCATTAGCTGAGAGTGAGAAGGAAGGAAAACTGTACAGTACTACCAAAGAGATCATTATCTCTCTCTATTCTGATCTTAATGGTCTGAAAGGGAAATTCATCTCACAGATGTCCTTTGGTAATCCATTCTGGGCTCTTATCTGCTCCATAAATCCTTCACCTATAATTTAAAACATAAATAAAGTGAGAATAACTATGAACTAACATTTTTTACCATCACTCATCTGTCAGTTTGTTGTACTGTGATGACTTGCTTGTTGCCACGAGGCTGGAGGCTATGCACCCAGTATTTCAAATACCTTCAGGGTCAGCCCGGATGGATAAGTTTCAGCGGAACTTCCACACTAAGACAGACTGAGAAGAGGGGGCCATCACTTCTGAAAAAATTGGCCAATTAAAAGCTTACGAATAGCAGTAAAACACTGTCTGATATGTTACTGGAAAACACTATTAGCCCTGAAACATTGTCCTATATAGTTCTGGAAGATTAGCCCCTCAGGTTGGAAGGCACTCACAATGCGACTCTTCATGGTAGAGTCAACCTTAATCACACGGATAGAGTAAAGCTCTCAGGACCTCCATTTGTTGATGGGGCACAACTCAAAATGAGAAGAAACAGCCACAAATATGTATTCATAATTGGAATGCAGAATGTATGATAAGAATCTAGGAAAATTGGAAGTTGTCAGAAATGAAATGGAATGTATAAAGATCAATATCTTAGGCATTAGCTGAAATGGACTGGTTTTGACCATTTTGAATCAGACAGTCTTGTGGTCTATGCTGAGAATGACATAGTGAAGAGGAATGGTGTGGTATTCATCATCACAAAGACTGTTTCAAGATCTTTCCTGAAGTACAGTGCTGTCAATGATAGGATAATACCTATATTCCTACAAGAAAGACCAGTTAATACTACTGTTATTTAAATTTATCCATCAACCACTAAAGCCAAAGAAGAAGAAATTGAATATTTTTACCAAATTCTGCAGTCTGAACTCGATCAAACATGCAATCAAGATGTATTGATTATTACTAGTGATTGAAATGTGAAAGCTGGAACCAAAGAAGAATCATTGATAGTTTGAAAATATGGCCTTGGTGATGGAAAGGATGCTGGAGGTCACATTATAGATTTTTCCAAGACCAATGACTTATTCATTGCAAACACTTTTTTCAACAACATAAACAGTGACTGTTAACGTGGACTTCACTGGATGGAGTACACAGGAATCAGATCAACTACATTTGTGGAAAGAGCTGATAGAGAAGCTCAGTATCTTCAGCCAAAACAAGACCAGGAGCTGATATGGAACAGACCATCAATTGCTCATAAGTAAGTTCAAGTTGAAGCTCCAGAAAATTAAAAATAGTCTATGGGAGCCAGAATAAGATCTTGATTATATCCCACTGAAATTTAGAGACCATCTAAAGAATAGATTTGATGCATTGAACTCCATTGAGCAAAAACCAGATGAATTATGGGATCACATCAAGAACATCGTGAATAAAGCAAAAGGTCATTGAAAAGACAGGAAGGGAAGAAAAGACCAAAATGGTTATCAGAAGAGACTTAAGAAAATTGCTCTTGAATGGAGAGTAGCTAAAACTAATGGAAGAAATAACAAGATAAAAGAGCTGAACAGAAGATTTCAAAGAGCAGCTCAAGAAGACAAAGTCAGTTTTCACAATGAAATGTGCAAAGCAGTGGAATTAGAAAACCAAAAGGGAAGAACATGCTTGGCATTTCTCAACTTGAAAGAACTGAAGGAAAAATTCAAGCCCCAAGTTGTAGTATTGAGGGATTCTTAGGGCAAAATATTGAATGATGGAGGAAACATCAAAAGAAGATGGAAGGAGTACTCAGAGTCACTGTACCATAAAGAACTGGTCGATGTTCATTCATTTATGGAGGTGGCATATGTTGAAGAACCAATGATATTGGAGGAGGAAGTTGAAGCTGCACTGAAGGAATTGGTGAAAAACAAGGTTCCAGGAATTGACAGAATACCCATTGAGATGTTTCAACAAACAGATGCAGTGCTGGAGTCACTTGCTTGTCTATGCCAAGTAATTTGGAAGACACCTACCTGGCCAACTGACTGGAAGAGATCCGTATTTGTGCCAACAGAATTAGAAATTATCGAACAATATCATTAACATCAGACACAAGTAAAATCTTGCTGAAGATAATTCAAAAACAATTGCAGCAGTATATTGACAGGGAACTTTCAGAAATGCAAACTGATTCAGAAGAGGACATGGAACAAGGGATAGCATTGCTGATGTCAGATTGATTTTGACTGAAGGCAAAGAATACCAGAAGGTTGTTTCCTTGTGTTTTATTGACTATGCAAAGGCATTTGACTGTGTGGATCATAACAAATTACGGATAACATTGAATAAGAATCGAAATTCCAGAACACTTAATTGTGATCATGAGGAACCTGTACATACACCAGGAGGCTGTGGTTCAGACAGAACAAGGGGATACTGCATGGCTTAAAATCAGGAAGGGTGTATGTCAGGATTGTATCCTTTCACCGTATTTATTTATTCTGTATGCTGAACAAATAATCCAAGAAGCTGGGCTATATGAAGAAGAACACGGCATCAGGGTTGGAGGAAGACGACTCATTAACAGCCTGCAATATGCAAATGACACAGCCTTACTTGCTGGCAGTGAAAATGACTTAAAACACTTACTGATGAAGATTAAAGACTGCAGTCTGCAGTATGGATTTCATCTCAACATAAAGGAAACAAAAATCCTCACAACCAGACCAATAAGCAGCATCACAATAAATGGAGAAAAGATTGAAGTTGTCAAATATTTCATTTTACTTGGAGCCACAGTCAGCACCCATAGAAGCAGTAATCAAGAAATCAGACATCATATTGCACTGGGAAAATCTGCGGAAAAAAACCTCTTTAAGATGCTGAAAAGCATAGATGTCACTTGGAAGACTAAGGTGCACCTAACCCA